GAGTTCCATATAAAAATACATGCTCACCAGTGACTGTGGGCATTGGTGCACATTTGTGCTGTAAAACCAAAGGAGGGTTAAGCACTGCATAAGTTCGGCACATTCATTTTCCACAAGCCATTATGAGCACTGTCCAACGTACTTAACTGTCTACAGTAAATGAACAGTAAATAGAGGAATGTCTCTGTCAGGGTTTCACATGAATAACCTGTGGATTTTATCAAGGATGAGGTAATTTGAATCTACCTTTGAAGACTTGGGAGTCCTCGGTCATAGGTTATCTTGAAAATTTTTGCTGTTTTTTTTAATCAAATGTGCATATGCATGTACATGTGCAGCGGAGACAATACTGATTTATTATTTTTGTGCAAGTATGGAAGTCACAGAGAAGGGAGGTGAGAAAAGCCTGTTCCAACTGTAGCCAGTTGGAACTTCCCTCAAATGATTTGGTATACATTTTTTTCCACAATCAATTTTTTTCCCCAGGATTCGTCACTTAAAGAATCACCCCGGGATTCTCCTATCCCCATGGCTGGCACCAGCTCCACCCAGCCCAACCCACCCATCCCCATTGTCACCTCCTCGACCCCCAACGCCGCTGCCACCACGCCACCCTCCAAGCCCATTGTGGTGGACATCCCCACCCCGCCCCCGAGTGAGGACAAGCCCAGCCGGCCCAGCCCCATCCTCTGCAAGCAGGACAGCCTGCCGGAGCCCATGTTCTCGCCCACTGTCCGGCCCCGCAGCAAGACCCTGGGTGACACCCCCTCGCCCTCGCCCAAGACTCCGCCCCCAGACAGCCGCTTTCAGTACATGAACACCAACAGCGTCGCCAACCAGGTGAACCAGAAGCCAACGCAGATGCAGAAGATGCCTCTTGGAAGGTTGGTCTTGTTATAATTTTGTTTCATTTTGCTTCACGTTCATGCGATGGTGCATGTGCAAATTACAGTATATTTATAAGTGAACTTGAAGACAAGGAACGAATGTTCAGGAGTAGAGGTGGGAGGAAACCCTGGACAAATGTTTCAGGAAGAACTTACAGAATCAGGTAGGCACTGAAAAATTCAATTCACCGACCGCCTCAGATGGAATTCAAACCACAGGTCGCAGGAGTGGGAGGTGAACAAAGTACCACTACACCAACCCAATTCCCCTTCAATTTTTGAAATTCTGAGAAGGTTTAAAATTCAACCATTACCTCCCCATGGATTTATCTTGGAACTTTACCAAATCTTAGAATATCTTCTACCATGTAGGAAACCAATTCTTAAACTTAACCCAAAAGTGTACCTGGATGTTACCTCCCGCAATCCTTGAAAATCCTCCCAAATTTTGCTGTGGATTTTGGACTATGTAAGAGGGAAAGACCCTGCTCTAAACTATTTCCATTGGACCAGTGAGCCTGAAAGATGACTCAATAGTAAGCCCAGAGCTGGACCAAGAGTGGGTGCGATTTCCCTAGCAAGGCAGGCTCCTTTGGTAGGAACTGCACCTCACTGATTCATGAACAAGTACAGTAGCATTGCTGCCAATAAAATGAGCACTCCCAACCAGTGCGGCTCTTCTCTACCTGTGAGAGGGTGTCTCTGCTGAAGGGATTGTAAAAATAAGTACAAATTCAGGCGGGGTCATATGAAATCCAACAAAAACCCCAATTTGACATTAATCGGCATCACTGCAATACCTCCTTTGCTACCCTAGAACCACCAGTGCATTCTATGATGACAGGCCACGCACCCTGTCCCTGAGCCCATTCAGCCCCCACCCAGCGGCATCCATGGGGCGCCGAATGTCTTGGAGGCAACAGATTTTCAACCGAGTGGTCACGCCCATCGCAGAATCCAAACTTGGCCAAGGTCAGAGAACTTTAGTCTCACTGTGTTTATAAAGTTGACTCTAATCCATTCCAACCTTGCTGAATGCAACAGAATGTGATTACTTTTCAGTCCTTGCTCTTGAGTCAGTGGAAACAAGATTATTGTGAGGGATCCTTACACAGGTCCACAAGAAGTGAATAGATTTTGACAATAAAATTGCTTACATACACGTTTCAGTGTGACCAAGTTTGTTTTTGTTTTTTTTTTTTGCTTTTTGTTTTAACAGAATTACCAGAAGAGGATTCAGAAGATGTCTTTGAAGGAGACGGCATTCCGAAGATCCGAGGTCTGGAAAGACAGGAAAGCCTGACCCGGCCTAAGCGGTTCGCCACGAAGGAACAGATCCGGGAACTCTGGCGGAAAGCCATCCGTGAGCAGATCCTGCTGATCCGCATGGACAAGGAGAATAGGAACCTGCAAGGTGAGACACCAGTCCCCTCTAAAATAAACACGTAACTCCTGGGGCTTGGCTCTGTCCAGATCAAGTGACTGTGGCTGGGTGTAATGCATGTCTATAGGAAGTTCCTGCAACCACAAAGCCAGTGGCTTCTGTAAACACCTGTGTAATACCTAGCCATAGCCACAACTTTCGGACATGTCCCTCAGTTGCTACAAAAACTTCTGAACTGTTCAAAATGAACCACTATCAAGTTGCACTGGCATGTTCTTTGTGCCTTTATTTTGAAGAGTCATCATGTCCCATGTAAAGTAATAGTTCTCAGAGCAGCCCTCCATCCTTTAAACAGAAAGAGGAAGGGAAGAATACAGTAGAAGTTAAAGGACTAGGCTCAGTGTCTTGACATGATATGAATTTCAGTGAAAAGCATTTGACAACTACATGTAATGCCTCTTAGTGTTTAGCACTGCTGTAGTCGAGACCAGTCACAAGACCAGACACAAGATCATGCACAAGACCAGTCACAAGACCAGTCACAGGTAACAGGGTGAACAATGACAAAGGAATAATTTTGTTGCAATCCATTGGGATAGCTTGTGTTTTTTTGTGCTGGTCTTGTGTGGTCTTATGGCAGTCTGTAGTAGTCTGGACTACAACACTGGCGTATAACATTGTCCAGCCTAGCGCCAGCCCCTCCCCCCATCTTTACTAAATTTCTCTGGCTGTTGAAGTTCAGTGATGTTATTCTCTGTAACACACCTTAAATGGAAACCCCCTTGTTTTGCTCCTGGTGCTGTCCACAATTTTGTCTCAAGGTGAAGGAAAATGCACTGTATTGTCTTCCCATCTTTCCTCCGCAGCACGCCAAGATGCGGCCCAAGAGAAGCGCATCAAGCTGGACTACGAGGAGATCACGCCCTGCCTCAAGGAGGTGACAGTGACGTGGGAGAAGATCCTGAGCAGGCCCAATCGCAGCAGCATCCGACTGAGCAAAGAGGAGGTCAACGACACCTTCAAGCAAGGTAAAGGGGAGAAGATGCTGGACCTCACCCACAGGTCTTGGAAGGGTGTGGGTTTGCTCAAACAAGCCCCGCTGGCAACCAATAGAGAGAGTTAAAGTAGATACTTTTACTTTAAAGCTGTGGTTGCTGTGCATGTTCAGCATTAAAGGCATTAGGAATTAGAAATCTAATTAAAGGTTTTAAAAGAATGTAATAGTATTCAGAACTAAGTGTGTTGAAGGACTCACGTTGAAGGAACAATTGCCTGAGATTGGTAAGTAAATAAGCAAAGTTAACTTAGGATCTTGATGTCGGGATATCCCGTTCATTTGAGGACTGAATTATTTGTCAGGTTTTCTCCTTCCAAAGCCCCATAAATCACGACATAGTCAGTTTCGTTGTCTCCATGCTTGCATGCTTGTATTGAATGCTTCTTTAAAGTGCCCAAATGCATGCTCGTCACAAGTCTAAGAACACAAGAGTGGCTCCACTGCAGTGACGAGCTCGGTAGACTCAATAATGTATTTTTCTCCACAACTGCCTGTTTTGTCAACTCGAAGGCATTCCCAAGACCAGGCGAGGGGAGATCTGGCAGTTCATCTGTGAGCAGCAGAAACTCAATGGCCTGACCAACGGCAACGTCCCCCAGCACGAGCCCTACAAGGAACTGCTGAAGGAGCTCACCATACACCAGCACGCTATCCTCATTGACTTGGGTAGGTGTCACAGCCCAAGAAAGTATTCAATATCAACCACGTGTATTTCGGCATGACACAACCTGATTACATCTTGCATATTGCCTTGCAATTTAGTGAAAGCTTGTCAGATCTTTAAAGGGTTTAGAAATGACCTAACAAAGAAGCGGATTTCAGACATTTTTTAGTTAAGTTCATCACTAGTCCTTGTAAGTCCTAACAAGTCATCAATGTCAGGTAAAGTTACACTATCCAAGTGAAGTCTGGTACAGGCTGCAGAAGGACACGTATTATATTTCAGTAACCAAATGACTCATTTTAATTGATGATGTCTTGCCATGAAAATTACAATAACTTAATTTATCGAGGAATTTGTTTTATGAACAATGTAAGTTATGATATATTGTCTAACATAGGTATAACGTACGATGGACTGCTTTATGGAGTCGCCCTGTATAAAGAACGTGCGACTTCACATTAATGTGATATTAATCTTTGCGTTACTTGTTTCAGGGCGGACTTTTCCCACTCATCCCTACTTTGCCAACCCACTCGGCCGTGGCCAACTGTCGCTCTTCAACCTTCTCAAGGCCTACTCCTTGCTGGACACGGATGTGGGCTACTGCCAAGGGCTCAGCTTTGTCGCAGGGGTCTTGCTGATGCATGTAGGTGGATTGCTCATGGCAGTTTTTAAAATCTTGACCCAATTGAGAATTCTTGTAACCTAAGTCGGAATGGGTGGATTGTATTTTCTTGTATGCAAAGCTGCAGTTTGATAGCAAGTTTAACCGCTTGACGCCGGATGACGTGTAAAACACCACAATTTGCCTTATTTGTTCCATGGAGGACGTGTACACTCGCTGAAGAATTCTGTTTTCATTTCTGCGGTTGACGTATTAACGCATTGTGCTTGATTGGGTCAAAGCACAATTGCAAGGTTGAAGAATTGCGGGTAAAATACCCGCCCCCGTAGCTATTGGAGGTAAGATAAACCGTCATTAGCAAACTGATGCAAACTAAGCAAACTGATGTACCCCTGATCTGATCTGCCACTTTTGTTTTGTTTTTCTATGACTGTGCATATAAGACAAAGGACACTGTAAGTTGGAAACTTATTTTCAAGGAAATGCCAGGCTTTCTTTGGTATCAGGAATTTTTATTCATGTAAAACTGGCACTGTTTTTTGTTGTTATGTTGGTACTCAAGGAATGCATTGTTTCATTTTCCCACATTTTTCATTCTCTCAAAGGTAACCTGCGGTGTTTGTTTGTGATTTGGGTATGGAGAATGGGGGTCTGATATGTCCTCTCGAGTTTTTTTTTCAAATTGGCAAGCATATGTCCGTGCTTGTGTTACACAAGTTCAGTGCATTCAAACAAAATCTTTGAAACTGATCATCATTTGAAACCTGCAAACAACGGTGTTGTAGTCGAGTCCATCACGATTCCGTTTACAGATGTGGTCAAACGGTAACGGGACGAGCAGTGACAAAGCAGTTCTTTTTGAATTAACAATTCACTGGAATAGCTTGTGACATGGCTTGAGACTGGACAACTTTGTGAGGACTTTCAGAAACATGTGAGGACTTATGGCGGACTTGGCTACAACACCCTTTAGAAAAGCCACTTAACAGCACCATGCATTTTAAAATAGGACAAGCATGTGGCTGGTACATTCCAATATCTTAAAATGTGTGTCAAAATATGCAAAAACATTTCAAAACACGAAAGGAAGCACAGTGCAAGCACTGCCTTGTACATGATTTCACTTAGATTTTGCATGTTGGAATTTGCGGTGCTAACGAGGACGCATGTACACAAACAAATGGGCATTTTACTTCTTCATTTTTGAGTACATCAAGAAACCTTTTCAATGTGAAACATCCCTTGATGTTGTCAGCACAGCATTCAGGCATGAATGCATGTTGTACACATACACATAAGGATTCCCTCACATGTTTCATTTATTATGTGCATCTTTATAAATGTTTATTGGAAATTATTTTTTGGTATAAATAATCTTTCTAAATTGAGACATTTCCTTATTTCACTGGCAGATGGACGAAGAGCAGTCGTTTGAAATGCTGGTGTTTCTGATGTACTCTCTGGGCTTCCGTAGGCAATACAAGCCGGACATGATAGCACTTCAGGTTAGCCAGTCAACAAGTAATGGTGTTGGGAAGAGAGCCAGGTTACAGTGACACGATCAGAATGTAGAAAGAAAGGGTCGCGCGAATTGCACGGTCTGCCTGACCATCTTTTAAGGAATGGCATTCTGTGCCAAGAAAAGTACCAGTAACACTGGTCTGTTGAAGTGTTAAACTGTGGATTATAAGCTGTTCAGGATAGTTGTTGCTCAGCATGAGTCACCCTTAATTGAAACATTTGGCATTTGGAATTGGCGGTTGCCCGCAGTTGTTTTGTTTTACATTTTTTGTTCAAGTTGTTTGCAACTGAAAAATAGAGTTTGGAAGACTTGTATCCACAACGAAACACGCGCGATGACGTTAAAAAAGTGTTATCGACATTTGTTACGATTCCTTGTTAAGGATATGTAACGACTACAGAGAAGTTAAAGTCGATGTATGTTCTTTTTAGTGTTTTGAATTTTGGTTTGCATTTGATTTAATTTGATTTGATTTGATTTGATTAAATTCAGATCCTGATCTACAAGCCTTCACTTATCCTTCATGACTTCTACATTTGAACCATGTTTTGATTTGATTCAGTTTGAATTGACTTGACATGATTTGATTTGATTTCATTTGATCAAATTCAGATCCAGATGTACCAGTTGTCTCGTCTCCTCCATGATTTCCATAAGCGTCTCTACGACCATCTTGAGCAGAACGAGATCAGCCCGTCCCTCTATGCTGCTCCCTGGTTTCTCACTCTGTTTGCCTCACAGTTTCCCCTGGGGTTTGTGGCCAAGGTTTTTGGTAAGATTTCAACGACAAATGGATACAAATGTGTTAGATTGCAATAGAAAAAAGAAAAGAAACAAGATAATTCAGTTGCGACTTTTCAACTCATTTTTGTCGATGTATTTGCAACCGAGGTATACTAATTTAACAGAATACCTATAACGTAAGATGAGATAATTTATGGATGCTGACTGGAATAACCTGACCTGAATATTTGACTTGAATATTTGACTTGCAAACTGTAAGGATGGAAAACGGACGTTTCTCTCTCGTTTGTTCATCAGGGGTAATATTTGTATGGAGTTTACCTTCATGGTGTTCTTGCACATTGCAGTCAATATAGACCACAAAATATGGGTGTTTTAAAGGGTGCCTTTAAGCACACGTGCACTGGGGTGTGGGGCCGTGATCAGCCCTTTGGTTATTTTTCTGTGGATGTGTCATTCTCCGCAGATCTCGCCCCTTTATTCATTTGTGCTCCCATAACTGTACACACTTTATCATGGACAAGTCAGAAAAAGTTCAAAGAAGTGGTCATTGTGCTTGTTCAAGTTAAAGAACGATACATGTGACGTGATTGTTATGTGAGACATACTTATATTGAAGTGTGGCATGGAAAGGGCTCCATTTGGAGTATTTAGAACAATCCTCTTTCGTGCACTGGAGGACTTAAAGAATTCATTTCCAAGAGAATACGTACACTGCTGTAAGTGCGGATTTTTTTGTTCTCAAGTCTGAGCACAGAACTTCTGTTCACTCTTGTGCGACCCCATCAGTGCCAGAAGAACTGAGCCAGACGCCCAAAATCAATTGTCTGCGACAGTAAGCTGGAACAAGGCTTCCACTGACTGTGTGTATGGTCATCCCATTTGCAGAGTGGACGTTAAGTTTATAAGCAACCAAAGCACTCATTGTACAGCTCCTGAATAGTCACTGAATGATCATGGAGTCTTCTCATCACGTGTTCTTGTGCACTGCTAACTCTGCATTTATCGTAGCATCGCCTAATAACAGATGAAATGGAAGTCTGTGGTAGCATTTTAGCAGTCTGTATTAGGAAGTAGCACATGCAACAGCCTTACTCATTCAGAATAGATGTCAATACCAGCTGGTTCTCTGAACTCCCTCCCGAATGGACACGGTGTTTCTGTTTCAGTACTCGTATCATTTCCTTCTTTGGTGCATCACTGCCCATGCATGCAGCCATTACTGTCTGCATGTCTGTATTTTCACATTGAAAGCAGGCACTGGACACTTCAAATCAAATTAATCAGCAGTAGGTTCAGCTGTCAAAACTTTATTTATCGAGAGTCCTGCTTCAATTAATATTTGGTGTCCTCGTCATGGGGTCGCGTCGGAATGATGCCTGCTGGCTATTGCTTGCATTTTCAGGGCTGTCCGTGTGACCTCAACCATTCAGAAAAAAAAAAATTCATAGCATAAATTGTCCATTGAAGTTCATTAAGTTTGATTGTAAGTGCTTATCGCTCTATGTTGGCCAGGTCGCCGTGTTAACGATATATAAACCGTACAGATCATAACTCATAACCTACGCTGGCAATATTTCTATAAGTTCCTTTAATGGAAAAACAAGCCACTAGCCAAAGTGCCATGCCCTGTGTATCCCTCGTACATGTAACTGGTTTATAACCTACCTTTGGGAAGCACATAGATTTACTCAGTGATAATTTATTCACGGCAGCTTTGTGAAACCAAAACCACTACAAACTAACAATGGTTTTCGTTTTGTGTCGTCCTTTTTTTTTTAGACCTGATCTTCCTGCAAGGGTTTGATGTGATCTTCAAAGTGGCTCTGATCGTCCTGGGCAGTCACGAGGAGCTGTTGCTGCACTGCGATGGCTTTGAGGCCATCATAGAGTTCCTGAAGGACACGCTGCCGACACTGGGAATCATCCAGATGGAGAACGTCATCAATAAGGTAAAGATGACACTGAATTTCAGTCACTTGAATAACAAATGAAACACGTAATCTTATTCACCGTGTAGAACAGTCCGGTTTGTTAAAACTGGTGTGAATATAGCTGTTACCAGGACTTTCTCCCTTAAGGCAATTTCACTGACCCACGTGGCCTATATATCTGCCATTGGTGTAGCCAAAGATGGAAGATGCCACATATTGTATTTACACTGTAGAAAAGCCTTCAATGCTTTGTAGAAGGCAAAGTGTGAGAACCAATTTGAGCCAACATCAAGTACTTGAAATGTAATGTGCATTGCACAAGTGGTGATCATTATGCTATCCATGAAAGATTTTGTGGTTGTTTTTGCAAAAATGACCCCAGGGCACTTGTCACGTGGACAATGTGTGATGAATAAGAGGTTAATCTCGTCAACAGCCGAGGCTGATTTGAAAAAAAATGAGAAGGGCTCGGGCATCATGTGCCACCTGGCACTGTTCAGAACGTGTTCAATTAATATCGCTGTGCTGAAAACCTTTCTGCATCACACACATACAGTTGTATTTTAAATGTAATTTACATCTATCGACATGTTCTTTAAAATAACAGGCTTCCTCCTTCTGGCTTCCTTCCTTTACTCTTCATTGCTTGGTTTCAGTTTGTTCCTTTTTGTTTTGTTATTTTTACCTTTGGTAAGGTGGTGAATACTAAAAGGTCAATGGAAAGCGACTTGCATTGTTTGCAAAAATGTGTACAGTGAGTCAGCGAAAAGGTGTTTTCAATAAAGGCATAAGTTTTTCTTTCTCTTTGACTGACCACTCAATGAGAAAAAAGGAAATATTGCACTGTGCCCGAAAGGCCATGTTTTTTTTAAGGGCATTGTTTTTGCACTGTCAGTTGCTTAACTCTGAATCGCATTTCCCTGAACCGTCCTCCAGGCATACCAACTAGACATATCCAAGGAGCTGCACGCCTACGAGGTGGAGTACCACATGCTGCAGGAGGAGATGGCGCCCTCGCCTGTCCACCAGCGCACTCAGCCCCCGACGACCGACATCCATAAGCTGGAGACGGCCAACCGCAACCTGCGGCGGCACAACAGTGAGCTGCTGGAGCAGCTGCAGTCGGCACACACCACCATCCACAGCCAGGAGGCCACCATACACAACCTGAGGGTGAGTTGTTGCTTCAGTCATTTACATGGGCTCTCTGTTTAGGCCATTCCAAGCGAATAGCAACTGAGCTATTATCATCTTCGGTTTAAGGCTGTTATCAGTCTGTTTTCGGTTGGCCTGCTCTGGTGCTATGGCTCTTAGAAATTGCTGTGAACATAGAAATTGGCTGAACAGATGCATCTTGGTCTAGTGGTTATGTCATCTGAATCACGTGTAACTGTATAGTATTAGTTTATTGTGGGGAGTCAAATTCTGAGAGGATACTTCATGTTCTTGAGCAGGACGATTTACTGCAATTGCCCCCTCTTTACCTCTTTTAGGTTTGTGGGTGTTGGTGTGGGTGGAGCATAAATTGCACTGATGACGATCTGCTTCAAAGCATTTTTCTCACTAGATGATATTTTCTTCTTAGCTGCTCTGTGGAATTTGGCCTGTTAGCTAGGTAGAGCAGAATGGTGCAGTAAGGATTACAAAATCTCAACAGTGATAGGGCCTATTTCTGACTCGGTAGTCGATAGACAAGCCGCACACTTGGAGGCATGGGCACAAGGGTGCCTGCCTGGTGCAGCTTTTCATTCCTTGCAACGGCTCCAGTTTTCTTTCAGCCCAGCGCGCACAAATTTTGAAACTGCGCACTTTCTGAGGACTTCATTGCCTCCACACTATGTGATCGAGAGCCAGGGACCTGATGTTAACGTTGCTTGGATGGGTCCTTTGGTTTGCGAATATGTAGAACCGTGGTGTTAGAAATGCAGAGTGAGAAACCCCACCTTGCGTTTTTCTTCTGTTTTTCCAGAAAAATGAGGATAAGTTGAAGTCGGAGGTGCGGGCCCTGAACCTAGAGCGATCTGCACTCCTGAACACCGTAGCCAAGCTGCGCAGTCTCCTGCCCAAGGATGTGGTCCTGGAGGACGCGGGCATCAACTTCACCCCCTCCTCCTCTGCCTCCTTCCTCTCGGGGAGCTCCTTTGACGACAAGGATGCGGCCTCGCCCATGGACCAGAAGGCAGACAGTGGGACGGGCAACCTTTCGGGCTCGCAGACCTGCTCACCGGACGAGACGGACACGGAGGTGGCCTCCATCAACAGCACGCCAAAGGGGACATGGGGACGTAACCACAGCAACGGGAGTTCCGGGAGCGAAATCAGCACCAGTACCAGTAGCGACATGGACGGGCCAAGTTACAACCAGTTGAGCTCAAACTGATTTCCTTCAAAATAAATTCTGAATTTTCGTTTTCAAATGACATTCTAATATGAACCATGGCAGTGGAAGCTCAGGGAACAAGATCAGAAGTAGCACTGGCAGCAAAATGGATCGAATTTCAGTTACAACATTGTGTTCATGATTCCCTTGGAGAAAATTCCATTTCTTTTTTCAGTATTAAATTTTGTGCATCTTCCAAGCTAGTCTTAATTAAAGGAGCATTCAAAATGCTAAAGTACAAGGGAAATAAAATAGCAATGGCTTTCCTTTCATTTGAAATGCACAACTTGGATGTTAAATTACCAATATTTCTCTATCTAGTTCGTAAAGAAAGAATAACAGTCATCTCAAAGATAAATTTCAGTGAGACCCACACAGTGCAACTGTATGTTTTATTATGACAAATAGGAACATTAGTTATTTTGGTGAGTGAGATGTTACATGAAGTTTGGTCAATCTTTTCAACCACTGTGAAGGTTAAGTAATGATTTAGCAATCAGTTAGTGGTAACCTGTGGATGGACAATCAGGTAGATGAAATCAAATACAAATGTATTGTGTCGCAGCATTCTACTGAATAATACGATGAGAATCCTATCGGTGTTACTCAAAGTGTTTTTTAAGTTGAATTACACCAAAATGTGTCGTTAGAGACATTTGTTCTCCAGATAGCAGTATGTTTTGATCTGTTTTCCCAGTGTCATTGACGAACAGTGGTTGCTCCATGCAATGCACATCTGCCCTGTACACAAGTGCTGAGTCTCTAGGTACTAATGGAATAGATGGGGCATTGGCAGATCCGGTGAAGGAGGTCATGTCTCGCCCCCACCAGAGGCACCAGATTTTTTGGGGGGGCGGGTCTAAAAACAGTGAGAGAGAAGACGGTTCCTTTCAACCATTTCATGCCCTTTTCTCCCCGGAAATGTTTGTCCCCCAGCTCCAGCTGTTTTGCCGGTCTTAAACTGTAGTCAGGCTTGTGAGGTACCATTTCTTCAGCGTCTTAACTTCTCTCCCCAAGGTTGTGGGAAAAAGCCCCCAGAATTGAGCACCACCCTGCAAGCCATAATAAAGCTTAGATAAAACCCCACAAAATTTGGGCATTCCCCCCAAAAAAGTCTAACTCACCTGGTATTCATTTGTTTTAGCGTCTCCATGTACTCACATGTGTTTATTAGTAGTTTTATTTATTATTATTATTATTGATTTTTGTTTTGAAGATTACCAAGGTGGTAATGTGATACAGCAAATGAGCTTCCAAATAAGGTACTGGTATAAACATTAACAAGTTCATTACTAATTTGCTCAAAACATTCTCTCAAATTGTTAGAGTAGATTTTATTAGATTGTATTTATTGATTAATTACAGTCCAGTAATTTTTCACAGTGATTTTTGTTCGTAATTCTACTGCCAAAAGCAAGTTGTTTTAAAAAACACTGGAAACAATAATTTAAAGTGTTGATGTAAAAAAAATGAATTGCACATCAGTGTTTGTATAAATTGTATCAATTGTACAGTAACCAAAGTAAGTATAAGTACATAATGGTAAATAAGCAAATAAGAGTTTATCCCTTGCCAATTTTTTTGTATCAAGTGAAATTTTTGGGCAAATACACTGTGAAGAGTTGGAACAGAAACGGCATATGGAATATTCTACGAGCCGCCATTATGATATTATTGTGAGAAGGTATAAGTCAGCATTACACGTATCAAGTTACCATGGCATTTTTTCTGTATACATTTTTTCAAGATCAGCTGGGCCAATTTAAAGTTGAATTTGTGTACAAAATGATTGTGTGAATCTGGAAGATGTGACTGTAAAAGGTCTTGAAAGTAGGTCAAAAGCGATCAAGCAAAATATTCGATACATGGTGGGATACCCTCCCCTCCCTCCAAAAAATGTAGAAGAAATGTTCAAAAAGTAAAATTCAGTTTTCTTTTCAGAAAAGGGTTATTCATCTACAAAATTGTTAATCAGTTAATTGCATGCAGTATTTAATACCCATTTCATAAAAATTCCTTGTTCTTAAAATATGTCATTTAAAAGCCATCAAAGAAAGGGAACTTACGTTTTTCTTGCAATTAGCAGTACTTACAAGCAAAAAATCAAATTAAACCCAAAGATTTGCATGAAACAATAAATTACATTTCGCAGATATCTGTATGTTATTGTTGAAGTGGAACTATTTTAGATATGTTTGTCATAGTGGTCTGAAGTGTAAGCTAACCCCAATAGCCACCGTGCTTATTTGGCGTGTTTGTTTATGAATGTCCATGACAACGAAAAGATGTGGACTGAAATTTCACTCGTAGCTGTTCTCCGTTGAAGTGGAAAGAAGTTTTGTGTTGTGAAAAATGTCAAAGCAGCTTAGCACACCATAAACCATTTTTCCTCGGGCTTTATCCAGCGAATAAATGCAGCAGTCAACACCATACAGTTGGCTAGAAAATCCACATTGATCTAGAGGCCTTTGAGATAATGTGTACATAAGGAGTATTTATTTTGATAGCGATTTCTTTACGTTTTACACTTTGATTTGTGCTAAGTAATCATGGCTGGATCCATATTGATTTAACTTGAGAATCGAGATATTTGATGTGTAGATTTGGACGTAATAGCTTTATTTTCTACTTAACCAAGGTTCCTGTAATCTACATTACATGTTTTGTTTTAAAAGTGTTGCTTTTAAGTTGATTGAACATGATTTCAGGAATGTATATTTCATTCAAAGCAGGAAAAGCACCCTTTTTAAATGAATTTTTTATTACCTAAATCTAAAGGAAACTCATAACATTTAGACCAAACTAATGTATTTGCATAATTGCAAACACAAAAAAATACACTTTGAAAGGAAGTTTTGAATCATTCAATTAGATATGCAGTCTTTGAAATTCAGTTTCAATACTTCTGAATGTACACGTACCCCTTGGCCTGTGGGGGAGGGGGCGCTCAGGGGGATGCCCCCCCCCTCAGAGAGCAGCTTTCCCCTCACTCCCCGTCAGCAAAACAATGAGCATCAAAATTATCTATTGTTCATGTGATGTGCCCTCCCCTCCTGCGATGGTACTTGGCCCCGTCCCCAATACTTGAAGATGGGCATAGGACCATTACCCCCCACCCACCCCCAATAATGAAAATAACTTTTTAAACTGAATTTGAAACGAAGACAAAAAAGAGTGCATTGTGTGGTTAGTGTTTTGGGTTGAGAAATTGGATTGTTTTTAATTTCTTTGCTGGGGAAAACCACACGGGATTCTTTTGGTAACACCATTATAATGTTTGGTTGTAGATTGCATTAGTGAAATTTTTATAAAGCCCAGTCAACAGGATTGCACAAGATCAGTATACCTCAGATTGGCGCTTAGTAATATTATTATTAAAGCCGTTACTTTCTGTTATGGCCATTATATATTTATTTTCTGTATTAAACAGTTGAAAACGAAAGTCCTGCTTCATTTGCCAATAGTGTGATGAAAGCAAAACGGAACTAATTCTAGTTTGCAGGAGTAAGTGCTCATTTGCACGATGCTGCTCAAATTGTGATGGACTGTTGGAAAACGGAAAGCAAAGTGAGTTCCTTTTATGGAAAAATAATGGTATTTTATGGCTAAATGTAAGAATGGACTTTTTCCTTTGAAAGAACTTAAGTAAGTTCTGAAGGAACTTGCCCTCATGTGCAACCAGTGAAGATGTTCCATTTTATTTGCAATAACCATTATTTTGCATTGTACTTGCAATAATCATCATAAGGTGTGTTCGAGTAGCTTCCATTGGTTAACCTAGGTTCAACCTCTTCCCCACAGTTTTGCTTGTTTGACACGCAGAACACAGCCATCCCAAGGTCAGGGTTGCCCCTTGGAAGCTACTTATAAATACATCCCATGTGTATGCCACGTTGTCGTTACATTGCCCACCTGAACGAAATAATGTGGCTAAACTTTGTTCAACACCGAGATGGAATGCTCTAAAATGTTATTGCTAGAAAGAAACTGAAATAAAATTACAAATAACCAGAGTTGCATACTATTATAAGTCAAATCACAAGCCAACACTAAGTTAAATCACAAGTCAACACTAATTCAAATCACAAGTCAACAGTTAGGCAAATCACAAGTCAACAGTAAGGCAAATCACAAGTCAACAGTTAGGCAAATCACAAGTCAACACAATGTCAAATCACAAGTCAACACTAATTCAAATCACAAGTCAACAGTAAGGCAAATTACAAGTCAATTGTCAGTTGCATGTCAGACCTTAGTTAAGCACAAGTCTGCCATAAGTCTGTCCTGTCAGATCACAAGTTAATCACAAGCCCGTCACAAGTCAGTCATAAATTATTCACATGTCAATAATAAATCATTCAAATGTCAATTAAAAGTCTCATGCAAGTTAGGTCAAAACACAGGTCATCCATAAAGTTTGACAAATGTCAATTGTGACAAATCACATGTCAAATTGAAAGTTGCATGCATTGGCTCTGTATGTAACTGTAAATTGTTTACTTTGATACTGGTTTGTCTGTGACATTCTGGTGCCCGTTGACAAGGGAAGAATGGACTATGACTCGGCAATTAACCTGGATAAAATGCATCATGCATTCCATCACTGTGTTCCTTTCACTGAAAAACACTCAGGTGACACCAACAGCATCTAAAAAATGTTCATTTTTTTTTAATTTGATTTTTAGATACATTCCAGGGACGTTTGCACTGCTTTCATCGTGCCAAAGTTTACAGTGGGCATTCCATGTAAAATAAAACTATAACAAATCAAATGCATGTTTCAAATCGAAATAAAAGGAAATGTATATGTTGAAACAAATTAGATTAATAAATTTGCCTGATGCTGTATTCATTATTTTTCACCTTGTCTTTACTTGTGTTATTGAATTATGGTGAACCTGGCAGTTAGGCCATAACTTGGTCAGAAATTATATAACAGTTCTATGTATGAGTTCAAAGTTAGGTGTTTATTTTGTTTGGCCCCCACCAGCAATTTCTAGTCTCTTTTTCTCTAATGAGAAGGAAATGATATAAGGGGAATTTTCACTTCACTTAGTCATAAATGGATAGGCCATAAAAGGCTACATAAAGAATTTCAAAACATTTTCAAGGGCTAGCAATTTTGCCCCCCCCGCCCATCTCTCTTCTTGCAGATAGTGTATGGAATGAAATTCGATTCACTTATGTAGTACAGTTTACAAATGCAGTAATTCTGAAACATTTTGTATGAAAACAAATGAAGCATGGTTCTACTTTTTTGTGAGTATGTTTTTATTTTGCAGATTTTTCTGCACGTTTTAAGGGTTGAATGAACTTTTCTGGCATTTGCCACATATCACAGCGCGTCATCTTACCGCATGGTGGCGCTATATCACCCACTCGATCTGGAACCGACGCCCTGAAATTATCATACTTCCGCCTGTAATTTGAGACCCATTTCCTGGTTCATTCTGCTGACGTGACAGTACTAAAACTAAAGGTAAGACCATCTGGTTGTTGTGTTTCATTTCCGCATTGTGTAGTTGTCAGTGACTTGGTGTAGGTGTAAATATTCGTGTGAAGATTTGACGTGCGCGTTGGGAAGGCAGCGAAAATGGGTAAGACATGTCATGGGAGATTGGTGCCTAGCATGCACGTACGTTAACGTTTTGTGTACGAATACACCTCCAAGAATGTTTGCCGTTAAGGTGTTTATTATTCAGGCATATTAACGTTAAGTGTAGAAATACGTACATGTATATGTACCGGTAATTTAAAGCAATAACTCGACCTGAACCGAACCAATTTGGACCATGTTTGGACCCATGATGTACGTACAGTACGTAGATGTATATGTACATGTACTAGCTGCATAACTGCAGCTGCAGGCTTCTGAGGGCGAGGGGAGAGTTTGCTCAACATGTACATGTTCAATAGGCCTGCATGTACATGTGGTGTGTACAAGTGTACATGTGCAAACCTTTCAACAGGGAATTTCAGGGAGGGAGGATGGTGTAGAGCAGCTGTGATGTATGACTATGACACTATGAGGTGGCCTGAGAATGTTTACTGTAGGTAATCAAGTGTGATATCTTGACTTGTCCTTGTCGCTTGTACTTGTAGCCAGCTACCATGTGGATCATACAGGTGAATTATGCAGGTGGTGGGTTATTCTGAACTGTGCCCCCAGTTTGGGAAAGTTTCATATGTGGACACCAGTAATTATTCCCTACTGTGACCTATTATTTTCCGCAGTGTCCGGTAAATTTCAATTTAGGAAAGAAAATAACAAGTCGTTTGGCCCTACTGAGAAAACTCTTCAAATTTTTTAGACCAGTCT